AACGCGGTGCCAACCAGCGAGCCGTTTAGCGTGAAGAAGACGCGGCGCGACGTCAGGTGGACTCCACAGCCGATCGTGTCGCCCGCGCCAAACGGCGGGCCGAAGCGCTGCAGCCCGCGCCCGCTTCGGTGATAGAGGACCCCGTCGTCGCCGTGCCAGCCGAGCGAATCGGACGTCCATCCCGCCTGCTTGTCTTGCAGCCGAAAGTGCTCGGTCGCCAGCCCAATCGAGACGCACGGCGGCCGGTCGGCGGTGAAGGCATCGTCGCCGGGAAGGGGAGCGTCCGAGATGCTCACTTCAAAGTAGTAGACATCGCTCAGTGCGATCTTCGCCTCACCGCCGCCGCCCGCCCGCAGGGAGACGTACTTCGACGAGAGCGGCACCGGCGACTCGGCACGCACCTGTCAGAGAGTAATAAACGAGTTGAATCGGGCAGCGTAAAACTATGCTCTCTCTCTGCTCCACTCACCGCCCGGTCGCGTCCGAGCCGTCCGGTGAAGGAGACCGTGCCGCCAGAGATGCAGAGCTGCTGGACGGAGGCGCCCTTGAGCAGCTGGGCCGGCGGCGGTAGCTCCTCGCGCCAGCAGTTTGCCACCTGCGCCGCCCGAAACTTCAAGAAGCTCGCAATGTCGCTCGTGTCTAACGCCGCGACCGCCGAGAGCGCTGCAGCCTCGCTGTGGTGGGCCAGCAGGAGATCGCGCCACGAGGGTGTGGCGTGCGCGCGCGAACCCGCGCCGCCGCTGACCGGCCACCGCTCTGTCTCCTCGCCCGCGCCGAGCCGGCGCAAAATGTGGCGTCGCCACACCGGCTGATCGGGCGCCGCACAGGCGGCGAAGCGGCGGCAGGCGGCCGCGGCGCACGGTAGGGAGGAGAGCGGGCAGTGCGAGAGGATGAGGGCCAGCAGCTCCTCGGGCATGTCGTGCAGCATCGGGCTCTCCATTAGCTTTATTATACCAAAAGGGAGGGCTACACGAGGCCCTCAAGCTTTGCGAAGTCGCAGATCGGCGAGGTACTTGCCGATAAAAGAATTTAAAAGAATTTAAACACGGCTCACAGCAGACAGGCTCGACACAGGTGCGAACTGGCGCGTGCTAGCACTATCACGATAAAAGAATTTTACGCATGCGCACGACACTGGGCCAATTGTGGTGGCGGCGTGCCGCCGTCCTCCCATCCCTCCCTTGGGCTGTCTGTTTCCTTTCTTCAGCTTTCTTTCTTTCTTTTTCGAGGGGCCAAAATATGCCGCGAGGAGGGCAGAGTTGCGCCGAAAGGCGGGAGAAGCCGCGAGAGCAAGGGATCGGCAGGCGGCGGCGGCGTCGCAGGACGAGGCAGAGGAGAGCGACGCGACAGAGGAGGAAACGACAGGAGGGAGAACGACGAGAGTGGGACGACCGCGAGGTGGCATGAAGGTTGCAGCGAGAATCGGCGAGGGGCTGCGAAGGGGGAGATAGAAGAGGCAGACGACCAAGGGTTAGGGTGGGCGACAAAGTGCGTTGCAGTAGTGCAATACATGCGTGATAAGTGGAATGTGCATATGGCATCACATAGACGTGATGCATCCTGGTCCTCTGATTCGTGAAGACCTCTCGTGAGGACGTCTGTTCCTCGGCAATATCGCCCCCCTACCCCCTACTAGATCGGCGACACACGCCCGCACGGTCACCTGATGCGGCTTCGCCGAGTCGCCGAGGCCAGCCGACGAGAGAGGTCCTCTAGAGGTCCTCACGCAGCTAGAGGTCCTCACGCAGCTAGAGGTCCTCACGCAGCTAGAGGTTCTCCTGGGTCCTCGAGGAAAGCTAAGGTCCACGCCGCATGGCCACGGACGCGGAGCGAGCGCGGGCAAAGTGCGTTGCAGCAGTGCAATACGCGCACATGTGTGATATGTCGAGTGCATATGGCATCAGACGTCAGGGTGTCCTCTGACTCGTGAAGACCTCTCGGACGCTTGTGAGGACCTCTCGTGAGGACCTCGCTCGGTTCCTCGGCAATATCGCCCCCCCACGCCACTAAATCGGCGAGTGGACTTCCCTCGGCCGCCTCCCAGGTGCCAGGATGGCGAGACCAAGACAGTTGCGCCGGCTGAGTCATTTACCCTTCCGCGGTGTGACGCCCTATCTCTCAAACGTGCGTTTCAAAGAATTTTACAAGCGTTCAACAAGAGTTCATTTTAATACGCAACCCACCTACAGGAGTTCAAAGAACATACGGTGAACAAAGTAGAGGGGTACGTGCTTCAGTGAGCCCGTTTTGTTTGTTTTTTACAGTGGCCAGGGGCGGGGCTTGCATTTTTGCCGTCGCCAGTCGCCCCCCCAAACGCTACACCTACAGCGGGGGCGGCGGCGGCGGCGGGGGCGGCGGCGGCGGCGCGACGGGGTGGGTGGGGTGTGGGGAGGTGCTGCTGTGTGCGCTGCGCGTGCGCGCACCGCACACCATACTCGAGTACGGCGGGAAACAGACGGCGAGGGGGGCGCGGCGGCAGTGGCGGCAGAGCGCGCGCGCGCGGCGCGCGCGACGGAGGGGCGGAGCAGCGACCGCGCGCGCGGTCGCTGCTCCGTCTGTCCCGGAGCGCCGTCTGCGCGGGGTGCGCGTCAGGAGAGGGGGGACGGGGGAAGGGAGCAGCCGGGCGACGAGAGGTAGGAGGTGCTCGCCGGCGAGCGCTCCCGCGCCTGCGGAGGGGCAAGGCCTGAGGGCGGGCGGGCGGGCGGGCGGGCGGGCGGGCGCGGGGGGGGGGGGGGGGGGGG